GGAGGAGACACGAGAGCTGGTGCCAGAGTGATAAGATGTGAGAAGGACTCAACCAGCCATCGCCAGCTCTGACAATGAAGGAAGGGGCCACAAGGCAAGGGACACAGGTGGCCCCTAGCAGGTGGAAAAGGCAGGGACACAGATTCTCCTCTAGAGTCTCCGGAAGGAGCGTGACCCTGCAGGCACCTCATTTTAGCCATGAGACCCATTTTGGACTTTCACTGAAAAATAATATGTAATAATAACATAATAAATTAGTGTTGTTTTATGCCACTAAGTTTGCAGCCACTCATTACGACAGTAATAAGAATCAATACTAATACGTATTATCTGCACTTACCCAGCGGCCCCCCGGGGGGGGCTCAGTCGGTTACGCATCTGACTCTTGATTTCAGCTCGGTTTATGATCTCGCGGTTTGTGGGTTTGAGCCCCGCATCAGGCTCTGTGCTGACAGTGCGGAGCCTGCTTGGGATTCTCTCTCTCCCTCTCCCTCTGCCTCTCCCCCGCTCTCTCTCTCAAAAAATAAATAAACTAAAAAAAAAAAAAAAAAAAATTTGCATCCGAACTTACCTAAACGTTGGGCTAAAGCTCAGAGAAGTTGACTGCTGAAGGTTGCAGCCACTGACAAGTGTCAAAGACAGACTTTGAGCCCAGGGCCGGCTGATTCCAAGGCCCAAGTTAGTGTGTGTGTGTGTGTGTGTGTGTGCACGAGCACATGTTTACTCCACGAGAGAAGCCACTCTTTAAATGTAAACCCCCCTTTGGAAGGTCGCCAACTTAACCCCATATCACCCTAGATAACTGGAAAGCTTTTCTTCTTTAAAAAAAAACAAAACATTTTATTTTTAAGTAATCTCTACACCCAATGTGGGGCTCGAACTCACAACCCTGAGATCAAGAGTCGCACACTCTACCGACTGAGCCAGCCAGGCGCCCCATGGAGAGCTTTGCTTTATAAAACACCAGGAAGTAAAAGAAACACCACAACCCATGTGTCCAGGTGAAGGTTCTAAGGGACAAGGGGGAACTAGGATGAGGGTACGGAGCCTCCGGGGGTGTCTCGTGTTTTCCCACGGAGCCCTCGCAGCTCTGCCCCAGCCCGAAACCCCAAAAACCAAAGGCCCAAGCCCCCGCCAGCCCTGGGGTCCCCCCGACAAAGAGTCCACAAGGAAAGGGTCAGGCCTGGGCGGCCAGGGCCGGCGCGGGTAGCTGGGAGTTGACCAGGAACGCAAATGGCCTCTGTCCTGGCTTCACACCCAACATGGGAAGAATCTGCCTCGCTATCCCTCCGGCATCATGAGTCTCTGGAGCCCGATATCCAAATATGTGCAGAAGCCGGGGCTGGGCTATTTTTAGCAGAGAGTCAGAGGGAGGCCATCTAAGGCTCAATCAGCTGGAGGGTTGCGGTCCCAGACTCAAGCTGGGAAGTCGGGGTCCAGGCACGTCCCCCTCCTGCTCCAAGTACCTGGGTGCTACCCCCAGAGGCCCCGGACCCCCAGTTTTGGGTGTTTGTGTGTGTCTGGAGGGGACAGCGGTGTGGACCACAGTCGGCCAGCATCCCTGGGGCCAACCTTCTTTTTCCTTGGGAACTTTTACAGAGCAACCACCGTCCTGCCCTCCAGAGAAAAGACGGGCTGGGCTGTGTGCTGGGGCCAACTGTCTGGCCAGGGGCCATTTGGCTCATGACCCTGGGGACACTCAGCTCAAGCCTCTGGGCTGGTGGTGACCTCCCTCTGCTGTGATTATCCATCCTTAAAGGCAGCAGAAATCTGACCTGTTCTGTATGGGTTCCTATGACCACTATAAAAAAAAAAAAAAAGATCACAAACTGGGTGGCTTAAAACAACAGAAATTTGGGGCGCCTGGGCGGCTCAGTCTTAGGTTCAGCGTCCGACTTCGACTCAGGCCATGATCTCGCGGTTCGTGAGTTCGAGCCCCCCATCAGGCTCTGCGCTGACAGTGCGGAGCCTGCTTGAGATCCTCTCTCTCTCCCTCTCTCTCTCTCTGCCCCTCCCCTGCTTGCGCACTGTCTCTCACACGCTCTCTCTCAAAATAAACTTAAAAAAAACTAAACACAAAAAAAGAAAGAAAAGAATAAAGGAAAAGGAAAAACAAGTAAAAAAAAAAGAAAAGAAAACACCAGAAATTTATTCTCTCCATCATGGAGGCCCAAGGTCTGAGGCCTGAGGTCTGAGACCCGAGTGTCGGCAGCTCGTGCTCCCTCGGGAGGCTGGAGGAGAGGAGACTTGCTGGCCTCTTACAGCCTCGGGGGCTGGCGACAATCTTTGGCATGGCTTTGTTTGTGGCTGCCTCTGTCTGCACATGGCTTTTTCCCGTGTGTGTCTGGGTCCAAGTGCCCCTGTTGTTATTTTTATTTTCACGGTTTAATGTTGATTTATTTATTTTTCAGAGAGAGAGAGAGAGACAGAGAGACAGAGAGAGAGAGAGTGGGGGAGGGGCAGAGAGAGAGAGGGAGACACAGAATCCGAAGCAGGCTCCAGGCTCCGAGCTGTCAGCACAGAGCCCGAGGCAGGACTCGAACCCACGAACCGTGAGATCACGACCTGGGCTGAAGTCGGCCACTGAACCGACTGAGCCCCCCAGGTGCCCCTTGTCTCTCCTGTTTCAGGACCCCAGTCGTTGGACTCTGGGCCCACCCCCATCCAGTAGGGCTCCAACTTTATCACGCGTGCAAAGGCTCTCTTTCCAAATGAGATCACATTGGCAGGTGCTGGAGGTTAGGACTTTGACATACCTTCTGGGGGACACAATTCAACCCACAATACTCTCCATCTCGTTCTACCCAAGC